TATCTTAAAAATATTTACTCATAAACTCAGTTAATCCATCCGATTAATCCTGATTTATTAAACTGCTGTAAACAACAAAAACACAGGTTTTTAACATATATTACTGTTTTTGCCCACATCTGTCTGTCTGTTAGCAAAATATCTCATGAACTACTGGTCAGATTTTAAAGAAACTTTCAAGTAAAAGTTATTAGATGTTTATTTACGACTCTTTRACATTGGGAGCCAATCTGAGTCAAGATGGCCGCCACAGCCAACAGCGTATAGAAAACACAAAACCAGCTCCAAATCAGTCAGTTTTACAGATACTGAGGTGAAAGTCTGGGTGGTAGTAGTTGAGTCGTCCTCAACATATAATCTGACTGTAAACTGATTGCATAAGATCTGCCTTTGAATTTCTGCTTTTATCTTTTTAGGTCAACCATGTCTGTCTGTTAGCAAAATATCGCATAAACTAATGGTCAGATTTTAAAGAAACTTTCAAGTAAAAGTCATCGGATGTTTGTTTACGATTCTTTAAAATTTGGAGGTAATCCGATTCAAGATGGCTGCCGCAGCCAACAGAATGTAGAAAACACAAAAACAGCTCCAAATCAGTCCGTTTTTCAGATACTGAGGTGAAACTCTGGGTGGTAGTAGCTGAGAGTCGTCCTCAACACTTACTCTGAGGGCTGATGAGTCTCATCAAACCTGAAACATTTACAGATGAAACAGCGCAGGTGTGGCGGGTGACAGGCGCATCCCCTCTCTGCTCAGTCACAGTTTCTGTTTTATGTTTCTGATTCCTGCGTCTCTCTGAGCGTTTTGGGGTATTTTGGGGGGATTATGCTAACTCTGCTCGGACTGCAAGGATTTCAGTTTGACAGCCGTGTGAGACCAAGCTGGCGTGCCTCGCTCCTCCTCCTCCTCCTCCTCCTCTAAAGCCGTCTTTGTTGGGCTGAGAGTCACCGCTCCAACGTGCCGCCACCGCCGACGACAAGAAGACACGGATATGAACTTCCTCCCAGTCTGTAAAGCCTCAGATCTTCTGCTGAATGTGACTGAACGCTTCGCTTCCCTTTTGTCCTCCTCCTCTCCTGCTTTATCACCTCCTGTCCCTCCTGTCCTGAGCTCTCAGGAGGAAGCATCACAGCTTTGATCGGCAGAGCAGGGAAACCCCAGCTGGAAGCACGGCGGCGGAGGGGTGATGGTCGGGGCTCCTCCTGCTGCTCGTTGAGGACGACTCCAGGGTTCAGCTCAGAGAAACCAGTGGGTTCCAGAAACAAAAGGGTTTCTCTAAGACCCGTCCAGTKCTTCGTGAGATATTCTGCTAACAGACAAACAAAAAGCCCGTTCCCACAGGCMGATAATATGAAGGTTAAATCATTTTAATCCTGTTTTGATGAACAAGAGTTTAAAAAACWAATTATTATGAACTCTGAGGTCAAAACAGGCGGTCGTGGATCGTTTTGACCTCAGGGCAGCAGGAGGGTCAACATAACATAAAACCTTTAAAACCAGAACGATAAGAAAAAAACATAAAAGATGTTAAAATATTTAGTTATTCAGTCTTTTTATAAACCTGCCGTTAAGAAAAAAACACAAACATCCAGAACAGAAAAAGACAAAAAAAGATGAAATATTCTCTCGTTCTTACCTTTTCTTTCTGGTAGTTCTTCTCTGGATGAATAAAAACTATAATCTGGACCTAAATCCTGCTGAGTTCTTGGCTGTTTTGTGATTTGAGTTTGATTTCTTAAAAAATAAAACAAAAGGTTAAAAATCAGAATTAAAACTGAWTAAAATTTCAGGAGAGTTGAAGACATTTCTGAGAGTTCAGCGCCCCCTGCTGTTCAACCTGTGTGTAACTGTTCAACACACCATGTATGGCACAAAACAAAATTTTAACATTTATTTGATCAGCTTGTCTTGTGACTTAGAATAAGGAAAATAATATTTTATAATTTTTTTAATAAGCTTTGGAGAAGGGTGGGATTAAATAAGGTTTTTTTTTTACTTCTTCCCATTCATTTTCAAACGTTGATTAGTTATCACTTTTTATCATTTTTTGTTTTGCTTTTTATACATGTTTGAAATAAAATAACTAAAAAACTGGACTTTTGGGGTTAAACAAATGTTCAAGTTTAATTTCAATAAATTACAAGTTAATCAAATCGGGTATTTTCTGTTTCAAAGCACCTCAAAAAAAAAAAAAAAAAAACACACAGACAAGAGGTCTATAAAGTACTTGGAAGAAAAAAAAAACTAAAAGTAAAAATACCTGAACAGAAAATGGCTTTGGTATAAAATAATTTCACTGATAAGTACTTGTGTAAAACTCACAAATCTGTTCACAAAAACCGGGAAAGTAAACGTACCAATACTTTTATAAACTTTTTAAAAACAAACTGTTGAATTCACTGAAGCAGTCTTTGTTCCAGCAGAGGGTAAAACAGACCTGTTTCTGYCTTTAGACTGTTCCACACACTACCGGGGGCTTTTATTTTGAAAACTAGGGTGTCAGGCAACTTCCTCTGGTTCTTATGTTGTACAAAAACATGGAACACGTTGAAAGGCTTTTAAGGRATTTCAGGGGCTGTTAGGAGTTAATCAAACTGGATCCACAACCATTTTTTTCTTTTAAATAAAATATATTTATTATTTCACATTTATTCTAATAAGTACACTTAGTGACTATAAACCTCTGTATACATATAAAACTTTAAGCTTTGCAAAATCTAGGTGTTTTTCTCAAACAATTTCAGTTTATAAAGATAAAACTACAGAAAGTGAATTATCTGAGGGTAAAAACATCTCATTAAACCTGATTTAAAGCAATAATAAAATGTTTTTTCTTTTCAAARTAAAAGCAGAGAAACAACACAGATGACAGGAGCCGTCGTGTTTTAGATAAAAAGTGATTTATTCTCTTTTTCTTTTCTTTTCTTTGTGACACCGACAGTGTAAGGCTCAGAACTGGTCGCACACGTTTAATCAAAATATACACGTYTCATCAGATACAAAACTGACGACCACCTGCGTATAAAACATGTATGTACAGCCCTACGCCCACCTCGCCTCGCCGCACGCCCACGCTCCGAGACGCGTTCAGGGACAGCTGGGAGTCGCAGTCGTTTGATTGGTCCTTCGACAGGTTTGGTTATCAGATGATTTAACCAGTCAGAAGTTTCTCACAAAACTCCTCAGAAGTAAAACATCAAGTTTGGAATTCATCTATCAGATTATATATCATCTATATACACACGTAGCTTAAATACCCACCCACAACTCAGATTAGCTACAAGAAAATGATTYATGCAGAGTGGTGGGCGGAGCTTTGATCACACCACTGAAGCMGACCAATCAGAACAGACGGGGCTTTTTTTAGTGGGAAAATTGATGAACTTCTTTTGTTGATGCTAACAGTTTGTTAGCAGTGTTGTTAATAATTCATTATTTACTACATTTCATTATTTGGTCACTTTCTGAACTTAATTAAAACTATTTTTAGTTGTTTTTAAATGCGTTAAACAAACTAAACTGTTTGGAATAAATCAAAATTATTCAAAAGTAATAAATTTGGCMTGAATCGTACTTAAATCTGACTTCCTGAGTGAACTTCGTCAAAAATTGGTGCTAAACTTCTATCATTTAATAAATTATTGATTCTTTTTTCAATTCAGTTTGTTTATAACCAGTGGTGGGCAGCGCTAATCCAAAAATTAGCTCCGYAATTTCTAAAGCGCTTATGCGATAGCAAAACAAGCAGAAGCTAATTTTAAAGCGCAAGTTCAATTTGACACTTACTAGCTGACAATTCATGTACAATATATGYACAACACTGCCAACTAGTGGTGTATGAACYCTTTTACAGCTTAATCCTACAACCTCTGATTGCTGGGGTTGTGATTTCCTGAAACAGACCTTTAGCTCCTGGTGTAAAAATTAAAAAGTTGTTGAGGATTGCTAGTTCGGCTGCTTCTTTGTCTTTTTCTTTTGTTTGTTGTACATTTTTCATTAAAGAAGCATTAATAAAATAATTTTAAAACTGTTTATTGGAAAACAGAAGCGATGCATTCTGGGTACATGACGGATTTGATTTGTGACAGGAAACGAAAGCACGGAGTACAGCAAACTATCTTCATTCAAAATAAGAGCATGGATTTTAAAGTTTTCCATGTAGTTGCTCCAGTTGACCACTAAATGTCTGTCTAATCCCGTTGGCCGATTGCTTCGACCAATTACGTCAAATATTGAGCTCCAGCATTGAAACTTTTTTTTTAAAAGAAGCTCCAATTGTAAAGTAAAATAAATCAATACATACAAAATTTTAGTATTGATTACAAACATTAACTGTTTTTGCTGTTGCCTTCCTGCTACGTAAGCAGACACAAAGCATTGTGGGAAATCAGAACCGTGACCCAAAGCAACAGTCAGCAGGATGTATACCTTCACAATAAGTGTGTTTATCTGGGAGGGGTGCTGTTGGATAGATCACGTGTTGTGATTCATTGACAGTCATACCTTCTGCTGTTCAACATAATGATGACTGGTAGATAATTAGTTATTARBGGTACTRCATTTTAATTTTAGAAGGTGCAAATCTGCTTATGAATTATAAAAATTAATAAGACCGCCAGAGTGCAAACAATATATTTAGGTCCGCAATTAGCGGATTTGCGCTTTAGCGGGCTGGTGCTCACCACTGTTTATAGCTTTGTTTATAAGACTGTTCAGTCTTTTGCATCTGGCTTCAAAACTCACTTTTTACACTGGCTTTTAATTCAAGTTCAGTTTGAGCTCCTCAGGATTTTGTAATTTGTGTCTTTTTATTTGTTTTTATCTTATTATTAGTTTTAATTGTATCATGTCTGTGAAGCACATTGGTCAACACTGTTGTTTTTAAATACGCTGTATAAATAAAGTGATGACGACAACGACAAGTAAAAGTCATCTCAGAGGACTGTATGTCTGGATGGATTTAAATTAGTGTTAATTTTAAAAACCTTTTAAAGTTAATCTCAGACGTTTTTGTATATTTGTTAAAAGTGTGGGCAGGTCGGGCTAACGGTCGGGACTAACGGTCGGGGCTAACGATCGGGGCTAACGATCGGGGCTAACGGTCGGGGATAACGGTCAGGGCTAACAATCAGGGCCAATGGTCGGGGCTAACAGTCGGGGCTAAAAGTCAGGGATAACGGTCGGGGCTAACAATCGGGGCTAACGGTCAGGGCTAACAGTCGAGGATAATGCTCAGGGCTAACAATCGAGGCTAACGGTCGGGGATAACGGTCGGGGCTAACAGTCAGGGATAACTGTCGGGGCTAACAATTGGGGCTAACGGTCAGGGCTAACAGTCGGGGATAACGGTCAGGGCTAACAATCGGGGCTAATGGTCGGGGCCAACAGTCGAGGATAACGGTCAGGGCTGACGGTCGGGGCTGACAGTCGGGGCTAACAATCGGGGCTAACGGTCAGGGCTAACAGTCGGGGATAAAGGTCGGGGCTAACAGTCGGGGCCAACAGTCAGAGATAACGGTCGGGGCCAACAGTCAGAGATAACGGTCGGGGCCAACAGTCAGAGATAACGGTCAGGGCTAACACTCAGGGCTGAGGGTCGGGGCTGACGGTCGGGGCTGACGGTCGGGGCTAACGGTCGGGGCCAACAGTCAGAGATAACGGTCGGGGCTAACACTCAGGGCTGATGGTCGGGGCTAACGGTCGGGGCTAATGATCCTCTTTTTAATTCATATTTATAAATGAAACTAAAATAATGCGTATCGCTGTTGTTTGGAATGTTGAAGTTAAAACAAAGATCCTGTTTGAGCTCAGAGTCTGAGTCTCGGACCACCTGCAGCTGTCACCACACCTGGTTTTAGCTCTGCATCCATAAAATCAGCTGCATTGCAGCTATTTGCTAACATGAATTAGCAGCATCAAGTGGTCCACAATGACTGTAGCTCAGGAGATATTTTGCTAACAGGTTTTATTTACAGGGTTTGCTTCAGTTGTGTATCTTTGAGACGAGAAGCCGTTTCCTCGAGTCAAAGGTTTCCCAGGTGCCCTGAACGCATCGCGGCTGCATGAATTAGCAGCTGGTTAGGAGGAAACACTTCGCTCGTATCGGGGGAACTTCTGAGTGGCTGGAATGTCGACCTTTAAAAAAAATAAAACAAATCAAACTACTGGTTTTGTTTGGTCTGAAAGTGCGGGGCGTCTTCCCCGTCAAACCTTCGCCTCAGGAGGAAAGATGTGTTCAAGGCACTGAAGTCACGCAGGCGGGCTGAGTCCAGTGAAACGGTCACGACATTAATAAAAAATTAAATTAAAAAGCCCGAAACCAGTTTGAAACCAGAAACCTGAGGGTGGAGTCGTTTGCATCATCTAGAAGGCGTTTCTTTTCTTTTCTTTTTTTTGGTTTTAGCTGTAGTGGATCAACAAACGTATAAATAAAACCTTTTTTTTCTTCTTAAATTCTGACCGACGGGACAAACTCACGACATTCACGTTCGGATCGTAGAAGGCAGCGAAACGAGCCGAGCTCAAAGAGACACCAAAAACAACTACAGAGAAATAATATAAGAAAAAAAGATCAGGAATGATTAAAATATTGCTACAATAAAATGATTACGACATGATTGCATACATGGAAAGAAAGGAACTAAAACTACGATTAAAGACCCATAAAAACAATCGGTTCACATGTTTTCAGCTACAGTAACAGCATCACGTAAAGCACAGAAAAGGGAGTAAACCTGTCAAAGTGTAAACCTGCTCTCATCAACTCACAGAGGCTTGGATGAAGGGGGAAGGAATAAGGCACGGGGATCCTCTCCGCCCGACGCCACCTTTAACGCTCAGAGTTTGGATCCGGTGCAGCCGCAGCACCGGTTCTGACGCGTGGGAATCGGGTTTCATGGGGAAGCTACAGTAAAGGGTCGGGGAATCCCCCAGAACCAGAGATCTGAGTCAGAATTTGAAGCGTTTTGAGTCAGGATGAATTTGAAAGGCTGACTTCACCTCCCGTGTTTTCGGGGACAGTCGAAAGGCAAACGAGGCTAAAAAACAAACAAAAAAKATGCTGAATTCTGACCCGACTAAAAATTCTGACTGAAAACTCCGTCCGATCTCGGGTTGTTCCGGGGAACCCCCTAAACGTTTCTAGGAATAATAATTTAAAATCACAGCAGACTTCAGGGCGGTTCTCTGCAGACAGGCGCTGGAATGACTGGAGTGTAGTGGTCAGGTCGGGTCGGGTCGGGTCGGCTCTCTGCGGGTCTCGGAACGAGGAGGCCCAGGCTCAGATGGAGGACTTGGAGAAGGAGACCCGCAGGTGGTGGTTTTCTCCCAAGTCGTGGTTGTGGAACTGGATGAGACTTTCTATGGCCTCTTCCACAGAGCTCATCTGGATCAGAGCCATCTTGTGGTCCTTCCTGAAGGAGAAACCAAGAGCTTTCCTTTCAAAATAAAACTTAACATTAGCTGTTCTGTCAGCAGCTTCGGACTTCCTTTTTGACCCGTTTAGCTAACTGCCCCCGCTAAMTGAGCAGCTAGCCCCGCTAACTGAGAGGCTGGTGCTGGCAAAAGAGAAGGAGACTATTTGTTTGTGTTAGCATTGGAGAGGCTAGCAACTAGCATGGATAAGTTAGTGTTAGCAATGTAGAAGCTAGCAACTAGCATGGATAAGCTGGTGTTAGCATTGGAGAGGCTAGCGACTAGCATGGATAAGCTGGTGTTAGCATTGGAGAGGCTAGTGACTAGCATGGATAAGCTGGTGTTAGCATCGGGGAGGTTAGTGACTAGCATGGATAAGCTGGTGTTAGCATCGGGGAGGCTAGTGACTAGCATGGATAAGCTGGTGTTAGCATCGGGGAGGTTAGT